TCCTGCTGACTTTTATAGGAATAATGGCACTCTTTTCCCTCCCAAAATTTAGAACTGTCCTTAGAAACCTCCAGCACAGTTGTGCCATACATGCCACTTTCCCTGTTCCCTCAAAGTGTGCAGTTGATTCATATAACAGGGAAAGCTGAACACCTCAACCTGTATTTAGCTGAAAGTTGGCTGCTTCTGTTTCACATCTAACAATGGGACTGTGTCCCCAAAGGCCTGGTTCTGCCCCCCTATTTTGTGTGTCATATTAAGAGACATTACCTTTCCCTATTACAACCTTGCAAAAAGACAAAAAACACAATGGAAGTACAATTATATTCCCTTTTCTCAGTTGCTAAAAATGTCACTCATTATAGGAACCTGACAGTTACACACTTTGGGAGTTTATTTTCAGTTACTGTTTTTGAGATTTAACAAACACATTCAAATGAACCTATCCAGCAGTGGGAGTGTTGCTGAGACAGCCTGGAAAGCACTGGCCCAGCCTGGCCAGCCTGATCTGCAGACACAGAGCCCTACTCCTTGCTCCCCTCCAGACAGGCAGGCCCCAGACTCCCTGCTGCCTTCTCTACTTACACCAGTGCTTGATGTTCTGCTCCAAAGCAACAGAACCAGACATCAGGTTGGTGCAAACAGCCAACAAACCCAAAACACATCTTTCATCAAAGCTGGGACCATTCCTTACAAACACTTTGTCCAATTGGCAATTGCAAAGTGGGTGCAAAGAGCAAGACAAGAGGAGAGCACAGGCAAAGTGCTGTACAAAACATCTTAAGGGTGTTACAGAAAAGGACACATGGAAAAAAGATTTAGTAACAAAACACTCACCAAACCTCCCCTGTGAGCCCATGGACAATATGGAGCACATTTAAAATGTATAAGCCAAGACACCACAGCAGTGGTGTGCAGAGCCCTCAAGGAAAGGAAGGACATGAACTGAGCAGGGAGGGCTTTTGGCAGCTGGTTCCTGTGGTAAGTGCTCAATTATCTGGAAACACCTCAGCACATTCCTTCTTCCCAGAATGCTCTGTGCCATTTCACTGAGTCCTCCTTGGCTATCACAGATACCACCACTTCTGGGGTTACTTCTGGGAACGCTGGACATCCCAAAGAGAGAGGGCAGCTTCACTGGACCATGAGCTGATGCTAAATAACTAAGGAACTATTTGTACAGATGTTTTCTGAGGGCAAGATTCTCTTTGAGATTTATTTTTAACTATAAAAGACTAACAAACAGCATTATCTTTTTCGACATGCATACAGACAAATTCCCAAAGGAGTCTAACAGCTGAGAAAGTAACAAGTGGTAGAACTAAGTCGCTGTGTAGCTCTGAACGAGCACCACAGGTTTTCTTATAGCCTTATAGCCTGTGGGAAATGGGGAGAAAGAAGATTATCACCAATGAAAATACACAAGATTTCCAGTTACAGCAAAACAGAGGATCCAGGTCATGTGGAAATCTAACCTTTTATCTCATGATCTCCTGCTGGCTCTTTTCTTCAAGGCCTGGGTAACTACTGTCCAGTAATTCTACTTTCTGTTAACAAACTGTTAACTTTCTTTTCCACCAGGCTACACAGAGTGTCAGCAGGATACACAAAAGGCTTTTTACAAAATAGGAGGAGTAAGATAACTCAGTATTACTGGTATGATGTGGGAAGCATTTTGCTATGGCCTAGAGTCCTCCACAAGACATCACTGCAATAAATAATAGTAAGCAACAGAAGCACTCAACACCATTTTGAAAGTTGTGGTACCATGGCTGTAATGCAAGCCCTGGAAGAGCAGAACTTCTCCATCCACAGCCTGGCTTCAGGCTGTCATAAGCTGCCATGACCAGTCAGGTGGGCTTACACTCCTTGCTCAGGAGGCATCAAATCAAAGCAGCAAAGGCTTCAAGTGTAAACAACAGATACTGTCCAAATGGGGTGTCACCTCCAGTCCAGGAGGATGGAAGGGACCAGGAATATGGAGGTCAGCTGAGTACAGAATGAGGAGATGCTGCAGAAGAGCTAGGAGAAAAACCAAGGAGTCCAAAGTATATGCACGATTATTCAAACTCCTCCAATAATTCTGGCCCCTCACAAAGTCAGGAATCCTCCTGGGATTTCCACACCTGCTTCTACAGCAGAAAGAGGAGTTGGGTTCAGAAACAGACTTTAGGAAGCTGGCAAGGTTGGACAAGATGTGGAGAAAGAGTTACTTCCAAAGATTTTTGTTTCTGAATATCTTGCTTAGTCCACCTGCATGCCCTCAGGCAGCTCTACCACCACAGGGGCACAGTCATCAGGCTCTGCCTCGAAGTCCCATTTAAATTTCTTTGTTAGGTGAGCCTTGAATTTTTCAGCCTTTTTCCTTAGGGTCCCATCAACAGCGGAACTGCATGTGCAGGAGAAAAACACCTAAAAGAACAGAGCAGAGGTCAATAAGGACTCAGCCACGGCACAAGATCTGCATCTATTTCCTGCAAAGACATCATTAACAGGATACACCAGGAATTTTCAGGTTAAGCCACTGGTAAGGGATCTAACACCCTAGAAACCACTCCAGCTTTGGAGCAACCTAACCAAAGCCTACATTTCTCCCCTCCTCCCACAGCCAAGATAGACATCCTACCTCCACTCCACTGAGTCGGCCTTAGGAATATTTGCACTGAGGCAATAACTTCTGTTTCAAGCAGAAGTACATACATAATGAAATATATACTGTGGAAATACTTTTCAGTGTCAGAAGAGAAAAATATCTGAACAGAAGTTAAAAAAAAGAGGACTATCAGTTTTCATTTGCCACAAAGCCAGTGTTACAGCATGTGTCAAAAAGGCCATCAGGTAACTCCTTTTTCATGGTTGGATGTACCAGGAGATCCCCCAAAGTATCACCAACACCTTAGGATACAGAGGAAACTTTATCAAGTGACTTTGAAGGGGAGAGAAGAATGGGATTTGTGTGTAAATACAGTTATCCCCAGCTCAACCCTTCCCCTGAGTGCAGGGCACTGAAATGTGGACTAACTTCTTGAGTGAGTCCAGAGGAGGGTGACAAAAATCATCAGAGGGCTGGAGCACCTCCTCTGTGAAGACAGGCTGAAGAAGTTGGGGTTGTTCAGCCAAGAGGGAGAAGAGTAGCTCCCTGGTGACCTTATAGCAACTTTCTGAAGGGGGCCTACAAGAAAGCTGGGGCAGGACTTTTTGCATGGACATGTAGCAAGTGGACAAGGGGCAACATGAAGAGGGGAGATTTAGACCAGATAGTAGGAGGAAATTCTTTATTATGAGCATGGTGAGACACTGGAACAAGTTGCCCAGGTATGTCATGGAAACCCCATCCATGGAAGTGTTCAAGGCCAGGCTGGATGGGGCTTGGAGCAACTTGATCTAGTGGGAGGTGTCCCTGCCCCTGCAGGGGGTTGGATCTAGATGATCTTTAAGGTCCCTTCCACACCAAACCATTTTGTGATTCTTTGATTCTCTAAGAGTGGCTCTTCTCCATCATCCAAACACACACAAATCTATTAAGTTTTTATAAATTCACAGCTTTTGCTAGAATTGTAATTTTGAGAGTTATAGCACCTTGTATGAATAAACAGGACATTTAGCCTCAGAGCTCATTTCTCATCAGCCACTTTCTGAACCTCTTCTAAACTCATGATTCGGAATTCATTTCCATAGAAAGAAACGTCTATTTCAAAGGCAAAGGCAAAAAAAAAAAAAAAAGATTGCTGGATGGGAGCAAGGGGAAAGCCCTCTGGGGAAAAAGCAGCTACTGACAGCTGGATAAAACACTGACAATGAGCAGCAAAGTTCACTGCTTTGTTTATGATCATTTGCCTTTTCCTTGTTCATTCTACCGTGAAACTGCCTCTTTATAACAGAACACAGCAAGGCTGCTATTGAAAAAAGATTAAAAGATTATACTTCCCACTTCTCCTCAATGAATTGCACATTAAATTAGTGATTTCATCAATATTTTTTTCTTTTTAAACACTGTTAAGGCTGGAAGTTATTCAGTGGAAATTATGCTGTACTCTTCTTGCCTTAGATCAAAACTCCAAAAATAAAAGTAGCTATATTAAAAGCTGAGGAATACACCCCACAGATAATACACCCCACACATTTTACACTGCTTCTGATCCACCTGCCCACACTCAGGGAAGACAGATAATTTTGGTTGCTGTGTACGTAAAGCAACTGGGTAAGGCAGTCCCAGAGGTTCCCTGGCACTATTTCAGTAAAATCCCTCAGGAGCAGAGGAACAGAAAACTTCTGGCAGAGAAGCTCAGTTCAATCATCAGGCAAATTTATTCTTTGCTACTAGGACTGCAGGTCTCTTCACTCCTGTGACCAGGGACAGGACTGGGGGAAATGGCAGGAAGCTGAATCAGGGGAGGTTAAGGCTGGATATCAAGAAAAACCTTTTCACCAAGAAGGAGGTCAAGCACTGGAACCAGCTCCCCAGGGCAGTGATCACAGCACCAAGCCTGCCTGAGTTCAAGAAGCCTTTGGATTATGCTCTCAGGCATATGGGATGATTCTTGGGATGCCCTACACAGGAACAGGAGTTGGACTCGGTAATCCTGATGCATTCTTTCCAACTCACCATGTTCTATGATCCTATGATTCTGCTGACTCCAGCTACAGCTTAACGATGGCTCAGGCCAGCAGAGCCACCCAAAGACATCTGCACATTTAGTAAAAAGCACAAACTGATGAAATCTGAGGATGAACAATACTCAGGTAAAGAAAAAAGGAAAGATAACCAGCAAGACAGGCTGCTTCCAAAATTCCCATCAGATGGAAAGAGTTTTTTGCGTATTCTTCGTGCTGCAAATAGAGCTAGGCTTCCCAGTTCTGTCATGGGATGGAAAAAAACACATGGGCAGGTTGCTCCAAGCACCATCCACTCTGGCTCTGACCACTTCCAGGGATGGGGCAGCTACAGCTTCTCTGGGCAACCTGGGCCAGTGTCTCACCACCCTTACAGTAGAAGGATTTCTTCCTAAGATCTCATCTCAGTCTCTCCTCTTCCAGCTCGAAACTGTTTCCCCCCATCCTATTACTCCCTGCCCTTGTCCAAAGTCCCTCCCCAGCTTTCCTGGAGCCCCTTCAGGCACTGGAAGGTGCTCTAATGTCTCCCTGGAGCCTTCTCTTCTCCAGGCTGAACACCCCAAGTCTCTCAGCCTGTCTCCACAGGGGAGGAGGGGGTCATGTTCTCCAGCCTCTTCCAGATCATCTTTGTGGTCCTCCCTTTGATTCACTCCAACAGCTCCATATTCTTCTTGTGTTGGGACTTCTTTAAATCCAAAAAAGCTTCCACATTCCAAAAAAAGTAAAGAATGTAACTTGATTAAAGCAATGCTTCCCATAACATTTTTCCCAGCAAATTAAAAACAAACACCTCGCCCCCTCAATCTATAGCAAAATCTTGAAGTTACAAGTAGAGAAATGCAACCACTCCCTGGAAAGGAGAAGGCATTACCAATCCCCACCAAGCACCTGCAATAGAACTTCCTACTCTTTCTGCTGGGATTAGGTTTTCATTGCTGAGCTTCACCAACATAGCTGGGCTTTTTTTTTTTTTTTTAAACCAAGTTTTGATCAGCCTGGTTGCTGAGCTGGTAGCATGGTTACAGTTAGTGGGAGTAACTGGTGCTGAATTACATATCTGCCCATGCCTGTGTTGGTAGAAGCAGCATTTTCTGCATTTGCAACTAACCAAACTCCCTCTGGATAACAACATGATTATAGAAAATACTCATCTTTGTTTAAGGTTAACAGGAATGGAAAAGCTTCTTAAATACTATTGATGCCCAAAGCTCAATACTATTTCACTGCATTCTCTGCATACAAAGCTCATCCAACTGACCAAAAGGCAGCAGCAGCAGTTTTTTAAGTCAAAGTTTTACCCAGCTTTATGTAGTTGAATGCCTTTGTTTTTCAGAAAAAGTGTGTTGATGTAGTCCAGTCACACTGGCCACTCCTGAACTCCCCAGCTATGCCCAAGTAGCCAGCGACTTCCTGCATTACTTGCAAGGAAAACAAAGACCATGCAGTCCCCATTCTCTGTTGCAGCCATTAGGCTTCATTAGCTTTTCCTCTCATCACCTCACTTGGCTGCCCTCTCTGCTTGCACACTAACTCCATCTTCTACTGCACAACACTCTTCTAGGCATAGCTGAGTAGATGAAACTCTGAGATGACAAGCAAATGGCATTGTTTTGTAAAAAATATGGAGAAAAGTAAAGGAAAATATGCATGTGCTTGCACAGGCTCATTATCTCCCATGCAGCTCAACTGTAGCTTAATGCCTTTTGCAGCTTCTCCCTGAATTTGCTCCGATGCCCTGTATGTCCTCTCCTCCCACTCTCTTTTTTAAGAGATACCTTCAAACCTACCTGTAATGTGCTGGTTAAAAAGTTGTCCTGGGAGACAATGTCCACAAAAAAATCAGCTGGGATTTCACTTAGCTGGTGATACAGCACAGATATGAGATTGATGTAAAGGTCTTGATATCTCCCTATGGCATCTTCAGATCGACAGAGGATGTTTAAGAGTGTTTTCCAGTGCTCAAAGGCATCATACACATTCCCGATCAGGAAGCAGATGAAAGCAAACTGCAACTCAGCTGCACATGTTCAGGAAAACAAAACAAAGCACATATAAGACTAGAAACATATCCAAGGTATGTGTCCTCACAAAAACTCTGTAAATGATTGCATAAAACTCTGGCTTTGCCCTTTGCACATACATTCTGCCCTTCCAGTGATTCTGCTAAAAGCAATCAATACTCCAAACACTATTTCCTAATGCTCTACACTTCAGTTGGAGAAAAAGCAAAGTATAATTAGGCAGGTCCACCTGTAACTAATTATCATCTTCAGAGCTTTACGAGCTCTCAGAACACACAGCCACCATGACTGCCAGGGTCATCAGTGTTCTCAAAACAGCACTCACACAAGAAGCCACACATGGCTGTTGTCCTGCAATTATTCCCTCTGCCTGTGCCCAGGTTTCCAGAGCCACATTGGAGTGCAAATGCCACTGTCCTTAAACACAAGGGCTGAGGGAACACTGGGAGAGATGAGCACTACATTGTACAAAAAACACTGTATGTTTTTTCCTTGTTGAATTAAGCACCAGGGTTCATCTCACTGATACACTTAGTATCAGGTATTTTGCCAGAATGATGACATCATCATTTCGTAAGGTGATTAACTTTCTGTATATCCTCCAGTTGTCTTTGATAATTTTGATAAAAAATAAGTTGTATAATGTTAATATAGAAAAAATGGAAGAAGGGAAAACCAAAGCCTTATTCCAAACCTCAGCTGCCTGGAGGTTCCAGCTCAGCTACATTCCCAATCCCTCCCTCATCCTACCATGAAACAAAACCACCGTTTTGGTATTTATTCCTATCATAAGTTGTCAAAACAGACTGGCAAGTACTGGAGACCTTGCCACCTGCCTGGGAGCCCCAGCCCTGGCTGTGCACGTCTCATGCAGCAGGGCTGGCAAACCCCAAACCTGCCACCGAGTCCTGGGCATTGCAGAGCAGAGCGCCCACTGACCCAGCTGGGTGGGGACCACTGCTGCTGGGGACCTGCCACCACCTCAGCACCCATGCAGGAAGAAGAATATGAACATTACAATGCTCAGCCCCACTCAGGTCTCCCAGGACTTCCTAAGCTCTGTCCTCAGAGCTTCACTTGACGCCGATGTTGCCAGGCAGGTGCCTCCTTTGCACAAGACGCAGCTCACAGCCACCTGCAACTGCTGCTTTGGATTCAATCTGAGGCAATTTGGGTTCCAAGGGCAGCACCCAGGAGTGAGAAAGGCATATGTTGGCGGGTGGCAGCTCCAGGCACCGAGCACCACAGCCCGCACAGGCCCTATAGCTGCTAAAAAACACCCCAAACTTCTGGCACACAATGACAAGAAATGCATTAGGGCCCGGGGAACAGTGCAGGTTTCATCCCGGGGTTCTCGGCACCCGAGGGCTCCCGGGACGTTGGCGGTGCTCACCCAGCAGGCCCAGGGGCTGGCTGCCGTACCGCTGCCCGATCACCTGCTCCAGAGCGTAGCTGAGGTCCATGCTGTGCCTGGTGATCTCCTCCGGAGTGGCACCCTCGGGGTACATCTGCTTCGGCAGCTCCGTGAACCTGATCTGGGTGCCG